AGTAGGCGGGCTGTCGAGGCAGCTTCCTCCTCGGTTAGGCATGCCTTGAGCCCCGTGGTCCGCGGGAGGAGGCGGATCTGGCTGCTTCCGAAGGGGGAATGCGCGTTGGGGGCCTGCCCTCACTTCGCCCAGTATGACTCTGATGTAGTTGGGCGTGCGGATGCCGGCTAGTTGCCGCCATCTGGTGAGGACCTCGAACGGCCTGGCGCCCATGCCTCGCGCCTGGAGCACTGGCCGAAGGAGGGGGGTGCAATGCGGTGCCAGGCGCAGCCACATGACCCTGGATATCCAGCTTCCCGGTCCAAGGTGCGACCTGGCCTCTCGCAGGAAGCCCTCCGCCACGAGCTGCGCGTCTGCGCCGCTGAAGGAGCTGCGGTCGATGCAGTGCTGCCTGGTTCTACCTGCGGCCTCATCGTCGCTCTGGGTGGCGTCCAGGGTTCTGATGAGAGCGCCCAGCGCGCCCCCTCTGCGGTGCGACTGAGCGGAGGACCTGGCGTTGTTATCGGGGTCCTCGCCGAGTATTTGTCTGATGTCTTCGTGCCAGAGGGTTGCGGTGCCCTGCGCCCCTCCTTCGGCCGAGGGGGGGGGGGGCGACCTCCTGCTCCCCCGACACCTGCATTGCCGTTTCTGGCGCTCGTCATGGCGAGACGAGCCTGCACCCCCCTTTCTACTGCGGCCCGGTCTCCTGACAGGATTCCTTCCTGGAGGTGTCCGAAGGGGTCGAGCCAACTCATAGTGCTGTCCTGTAGCTGTGGGTGGATGTATCACCCTGGAAGGGAAGCCTCGACTTCCCTTCTAGCCAGGTGCGATAGGGTCGCCGCTTCAAGCCCGAGGCGGTGGTGTGCTCCCTGTAGGGAGGAGACGCCCATGGCGCTCCATCGCCTGCCTGCATGCGCCACTATGTGGGCGGGGGTCCCAGTGGCCTCGAAGACGTGCTCGAGTGTGTTTCGTCCCCCTTCTGTGGCTGATTCCCATATGAAAGTGGCCAGGAGCCTGCTCCTGGTCATGTTGTTCGGTATGCTGTCGCTTGCTACCTGCGCGCGGATCTCTTCGAACTCCTGCAGTCGGCGACGTGCGCTGCCCTCCCATTCTGGAGCCAGCTGGGCGCCCCCATTCGGCTGCTGCCTATCGACGGTTCGGTTTTCGGAGCCCTCTCTCCTCGCGGATTGTTGGTTGACTCCGTTGGATACAGGGGGGCCCGCCCCTCGAGCCCTTGCGCGTAGCGTGATTGCGAGGCGCGCTGCTGCACCGCAGGGGCTGTCTGGTGCGAGGTGGTCGGCGATGAGTCTCCCTTCCTTTCTGGCGGAGGCAATGAGTGCCGCGCAAGCCACCTCAATTGCCTCGGCGTCGACGTCGTGCGCTTCAGGGGGGCCCATCTGCTAGGGTGGCGCCGAGGGCTTGATCCAGGAAGTTTCCTCCTACTTCGCTTCGGAGCCAGTCTGCGCCCTCTGCGGGGAAGTTGTCAAGGCACTGCCGGGATCTCATCCTCAGATCTTCCAACCTGGTCCTTGCGCCTGCGGGGTCAGGGGGCTGGGCTGGCAACGCCATGATGGGGGATTTGGCGATGCTTTTAGGCGCCCACTCACGCAGAGGCCTGCTGGAGGAGACCCCCCTGGTGCGACCCCTGATTCGAGTGGCGGCCTCCAGGGCCCATCCCCGCGGGGCGCTGCATAGCCTGGCGAAAGCGCTCACCGCAGCTCTAAGCATTGGCTCGCCCCCCAGGTTCGGCCCCCCCCTGTCAGCGGTCGGGTGCCAGGGTTCGCTTGTGGACCCGCCGCAGGCGGGCGCCGTGTCCGCCATGTGGCGCCATGCCGCGAACAACTCCGAGGTGAGCCAGGATGGAGAGTAGCTGGAGGTCTCTGGAAGGTGGTCTGGGGAGCATATGTGGCTGGTAATAGGGGCGTAACGCGCCCCCACTCTGGCCAGCTGCAAGAGGGGCGGGGTGCCCGGCAAGTCTAGGAGGGCGTCCTGGGGCTTCGGCGCTGTCGGAACGGAAACCGCCCATAGCCAGAAACCACGGCGAAGCAAGCCTGCGGCAGACGACGCACATGGGACCGTGGGGGCCCCGCGCGAGCCAGCAACCGCAGTGCCCGCATCTGTCGGATGGGTGGAAGAAGTCCCCGGACCTTATCCTGTGGGAAGTGTTGTTCATGGGCCGTGGACCCTCGGGCGCGTCGCTGCCCTCGAGGACGACTCCTGGGATGCCTGGGGATCGGGGGCCTGCGCCAAGGACGGCCGGGGCGGCCCGGCCGCCCCATCCCGCCCCGTGCTGCTCGGCGGATAGTACATCGGCCCCTGCCTCGACCCGCATCCCCCTATTGACCGCCCAATTTCTGACCCCACTGCGGTCCGGGAAGTGGACCCGATTGCGGCGGTGCCCGTGAATAAGGTAGCGGCATAGCTTGGCCTTATGGTCGCGGTCGGTTCCAACATCGATGGCGTCAGGGGCAGCGTCGCGCCGCCACCTGGAGAGTCCTAGTAGGGGCGCAGGAATCCCTGACCCCGATATCCGCACAGAGGGAGGCAAAGTGCAGGGCGCCATATTCCAGTTGGGCCGCAATCAGCTCGACCTCGGTAAGGCCCTCGCAGCCCAAGTTATCCGCCTCGATGGCTGGGTCTTGTGACAGGCTTGAGTACCGGGAGGCCAGCGCCTGAACTGGGTCTGGACCCACCCCTCCTAGTCTCGCCTCGTGGTCGGAGCCAGTGATGGACCATGCGTGCCGCGGCGGGTCGAGCTGGGCGAGGGCCGGGGCGCAGGTGCATCGTTGCTGGGGGGTTCCTTGCTCCAGCTGGGTCGCCTGGTTGGGCGCTGCCCTAAGAGGGCTAGGAACGTTTCCAGTCAAAGGGGGCTCCGCGCGGAGTCCGGCGTGCCAGGGGGGGTGGCGGAGCCAGCAGAAGCTCACCAGATTTTCGAGGCCCAGGCTCATCGCTTGACTACGCGACGCGAGCCTGGGGAGCTCTCTCCATGGGCCCCCCGGCGGCTCGTGATGCGCCACGAGTGCAGCAAGGGTGCCCCCTCTCATGGTGCCCCTTGGATCGGCGACCCTCGGGGCCAGGAAGGGCACGTCGGCGTCGCGACTGCCGCGTCGTCGGGGGTGGTGGTAGGGCCTACGGGGGCCCATGTCTGCGCCGCAGCTGGGAGGTCCGTGCTCGGGGTCGTCTGAATGCCCCTCCCAACTGCGCTGATTTGAGCCTGGTGGTGGTGGCGAAGGGAGACCTGGGGGAGGAGCGATCGGGCGTCCGAGAGCACCAGGAGCGGATCTGTCCTCGATCTCGTCGGGGTCCCCCCAGTCGTAGTGAGCGTCGCTATCGGGGGTGCTTCGCTGGGCTCGCGAGCCTCAAGGATCCACTCCCAATCAACCTCGTCCTGGGGCTGCCGTCCACATCCCGCCCCGATCCCGATCGGGTGGAGGGGGGGCGCAGGGGAGATCTCGTGTTCGTCGCCCAGAACGTCAGCTTCGCCAGCGCCTGCCGGGAGGGGGGAGGTAGGGGCGAAGGCAAGGGCAGATTGGGGCGGGGGGAGGGAAGGGGCGGGCGACCATTCCCCCATGCTGGCGCTATTATGGTCCCTCACGCCCCTGTGGTGGGCGCTCTCGCCAGCCCCGAGGACTCTCTGAGCGCCCGCCCTGGGGGCTGGCGTGGATCGATCTTGGGCGAGGCCGTCCGGTGGGATACGGCCAGGACCCGCAACAGGCTGCATCTCCTGACGGCGGGGGGTGCAGCCAACAGCCGCTGGGTTTACATTTCCGTCAAGGGAAGGAGAAGGAGGATTGGAGGCGCGGCCAACAGCCACAATCACATTTGCATTGACAGAGGAGGAGGGGGGAGCAGCCAACGGCTGCAAAGTCACGTTGCGATCGGTGTCTCCCCCGCACTCTGGCGGTCTCTCGGGGGAGAGACCCGCCACTGCGTGGGGCGGTCCAGTCGTCTGTCCCCATAGTGGGTGGACAGCGCTGTCCGCTTCTGTGGGCTGGTTCGCCACATCATGACCCTCTCTAGGGCTTCCGCCCACTACCGCCCCTCGATTCCTTCCTGGGATGTCCTCCTCAGCGTCCAGGAGTTGGACGGTACCTGCTAGTGGTTTCTCGGGTTCCTGGGCAGTCCCACGGCGGGGAGAGGAGGGAGGCGTTGGCGGGACGGGGATCGAGATGGGGTCCAGGGTGGGTTTGGGGGGGGGGGGGGGTCAGGACTCTCTCGCCCCTGAGAGTCTGCCCCCGTGCCTCTTTCGCCCACGTCTGCCCCGCCCGTCTCACCTGCCTCGGCCGTCCTTTGCCGGGGCGGGTCGTGGGCATCTGCGGGGGACTGCTGTCTCATCCCATCTCTTTCCGCGCTGGCATCATCCTCCGCTGGGCAGCGCGCCATGGTGGGCAACGCTTGAGCCAGCCCCTGCTCTGCCCCTGATGCAGGGCGGTGTTGCTGCCTGTGGGGGTTCTGCGCCAGATTTGGATCCGTGGGGGGGGGGGAGATCGGGACCAATGGCTGGGCTCCCATGCCATGCACTGAACGATCTTCGTCCCCCTCGTCACCGCCCGATAGGCCCTCCATGGGTTTGCGTCCCCGATCCAATCTGAGCCGAGTGCAGGAGCTGCGCCGCGAGCGGAGCAGCAGCGGATATGGCGGGCGCGCGCTGGGGGCCCGAGGGAACCGAGGGCCCGCGGGCCAGCGGCGCGGCGTACGGGCGCCCCCTTGAGCACGGGAGACTGGCCCGAGGGAGCCAAGCCCGTGAGATGCCTTGAGCCAAGGGCTACGGAGCTGGTGGGGATACTTTTTTGTTCTGCGGCCCGCAAGGAGAAGTCCAGAGGGCGGTATGAGTGGTGGGGATACGCGAAGCGTCGAACATTTCTGGGGGGTCCGCGCGGGGCTTCTAGAATTCATATTTACGCAGCTTGCTTTGCTAATCAATTGAGGGCGAGGGTAGGGGACGATGTTTCTGGTTGGAGTGTAGCCGAAAAACGTTCATGCATGTTCCCGCGATGCAATTCACGTTCGTCCCAAACGACCTCCCCCTGTGGCTCTGGCATGTCCTCCGAGCGGAAATCGATGGGCTTCCCGTCCGGCTTCCTCCACACCGCCGGGTAGACAGTCAAAGGAACCTGCCCGGGCCACACTCTGTTTCAGGCTGCCGATTAGCACGCGGGCGTGTGCAGAGCCAAGCAGACAGAATCGCGATCACGCCAGTCATGGGCCGATGGGCGAGCGCGATCTTACTCCGAAGAAGAGCAGGGTACGTCCTGTGTTCGTTGAGAATGTGAAGTGCTACGAGGAGGAGCGGCAGAAGGAGGGCGCCAGAAGATTGGGTCCTTCTGGTCGGCCAGTGCTTCATCCTTCCTGTATGCTTGCCAAAAGCAGATCCTCCGCTCACACGAAGCACCACCGACAGGCATTGCCACTCCCTGCAAGGGGTCTCGCAAGCGCGTGTTGATCAGCGGCATCGTTCGAACGACACGGCCATGGAGGCATATCCCAAATGCTCCGCGTGCACATCGTCCCCAGACGATGTTTTGACCATGCTTGAATACTCCTCCTGTCGACGGACATGCCCGACTTGACGTTGGCATCGACCCCCGTCGCAAGGCTCCCAGACAGCCCTGAGCCTCCGGTTCAACGCCGCGTCGCCCTTCTTCGCTCCGCCCGCAGCCTGGCAAAAACGCCCGGAGTGACAAAAATGCAACGCCAGGATCTCAGGGGTGGTGTGGGACACACAGAGACATACTAGTGCTAGATGCCCTCCTTGGAGGCGCACGTCCGACCCGAACATATAGTATACCTGTCTTGTAGTATATCGTTTTCCGAGCGGCGTGGCCAGAAAGCGCCCGCCACGACGAATATACTATGAGACTTCTCGGTGCGCGCGTCGCCCCTGGGGGGGGGGCGACGCACATATAGTAGAAGTATGCTGGGGTGACGCCGATGGTGGCGCCGACGGACCCCCGGTGGCACGGACCCCCCGTCGCAAGGCTCCCGCAAGGCTGCCCGCCGTGCCGCCGGCCAAGCTTCGCTCCCCCCCCTGCGGGCAGCGGCCCCCTCCCGCCCCCCCCTCGTGTGTGAGCGGAGGCCGCCCCCCTGAGGGCCGCCCCCAAGGGGAGAAAGCTGGGGAGAGAAGGCCAGCGTTTTCTTCCCTGAGGGATGAACAAAAAACGACCCTACCCTGGGTTACAAGTGCGTGATCTGCAAACCTCCTGGGAACTCTCAAAGCCTAGACAGCCGCCAGGGCGCCTAACATCACGCAGGGTTTACCCTGTCAGCCCACAGGAGGTTCAGCGCACAGCGCCTCGTAAACAGCGGTAGGGGCGTTTTTTGCGCCCTTGATTCTTCGCCGTTTTGACATTGGGCGGAAAGGGGGGGGAGGGGGCGTTCTGGGACCTCTGCTTCCTGCCACTGTTTGCAACAATGCGTCCTAGGGGGGAGACTCCGCCTGCTCGTAGCGGGCGCCGGAAACAGCCAAGATCTACTCTATGGGGGGGGAAGGTGGGTGCAAGGGCCGCGACGATCGGCAAAACAATGAATAGAAAACGATCACAAGAGGGTCACTGCTCGGCGCGTTGTTCACTGCCGCCCCTGAGGGGAGAAGCGGGGAGAGAAGGCAGAGGCTTCCCGGAGGGGGTCCGAGCAGATGGGGCCGGAGGATCGCGCCGCATCGATGATGCATCGACGATGCGTTGACCATGCATCGACGATGCATCGGCGACGTCGGCCGTGCATCGGCGACGCTGGCATGGAGAACATCGAGCTCGAGCTCCACATCGAGCCGCACCGCCGATGTACTGGCGATGGGGCGCCATCCTCCGACCCGGCCCATCTGCTCGGACCATCCGGTCGGCTCAGAGAAGAGGGAAGCTGCTCGGCGGCGGGCCCGGGGGGGGGGGGGAGGCGAGAAGGGGGAAAGGCCTGCTCGGAAGGCTCAGAAGTCCCGTGGCCTTCTGAGAAGTCTTCCGAGCCTTCCCCGAAGGCGCAGAACACTCCTCAGAAGGCGCGAGGGCTTCTGAGAAGTCCCGCCGCCTTCCGAGAGGCCATCTCATTCTCACTTCCCCCCCCCCTCGCTCGCCGCCGAACTGCGGGGGGCGGGCGCCCTTCAAGGGAGACCCCTTCTTGTTCCCTGGTGGAGGCTAGAACAAAAAGATGGGGAGGATGGGGGAGCGCCGTCGTCGCGGCGCTCGTCGGCATGGGAGGGACCAGAGGGCTGCCACGGATTGGCTCGGGACGCGCTCCAGAAGTCTTGGAGCACCTGGTGCCCTCGTCTCCTGGGCCCACGCGGAGAAGCAGACGAAACTGGAGATCTTGAACCGCCTCAGTCTGACAACTTCTTAGCCATCAGTCGGAAGAAGTAGGTAGAAGCATGAAGTGGGAAGGCCTTGAAAACAGATTGGGCGTCCGCCCGCCCCCCAAGGAGGACGGAAAATGTGAAGCCACTCGATAACTAAAGTAGGAAGGCGGTTAAAATAGATTGGAATCTGGGAATCCATACACCTGCCATCGCTCGGACGTCCATTCTCTGTGTTTTTTTCGGTTTCGTGCGTGGGTTTTTCGCCAAATGATCAAGGATGCTCCTCGATGGTCCTCGCCGAAGGAAAAATGCACACGTCCGAGCGATGCCAAGACTTTGAGCGACCGATGGGTAGATCATTACTGCTGTTAGAGACTGAACGACCCTGCGTGGGCGCCTCCAAGGACCTCCGTGGCCCCATCCATCATACGCGCGATTTCGACCGTGTGCTGTCCAGAACTCGACCACCCCTCCTTTTGCCATCGCTCGGACGTCCATTTCCCGTGCATTGTTCGGTTTCGTGCGTGTTGTTTTTGCTCGATGGTCCAGGATGGTCCTCGGTGGTCCTCGCCGAGAAAAAAAAAACACACGTCCGAGCGATGCCAAGTCCTCCCCCTTGCGTCCAGATGTTGCCCAGACTTCGTCGTTCAGAATTCGCAAAATCTCAACCGAACCCGACGAAGCCCGTTGGACACTCGGAGGCTCCCGTGGGACCACACGAAAGAGAGAGAGGGTGGCAGGAGGGGGAAAGCGGGCAATGAAATTGAGAGGGGGGGAAGAGGGGAGAGGGGAGGGCGAAGGGGGCAGGGAAGCAAGACATGGAAGAAACCAAGAATTACTCCGGGGACGGTGGTCAGGGCGCGGAGGAGCCATGACAGGGTCAGTCCAGCTCGTTTGAGCTCGCCCTGGCCTCCACCTCCCATCGGCCAACTCCCCCCGACCTCGGGCATCCATCGCACTTCCACTCCGGGTCACGGACACGTCGCCGGCAAGACACGGGCGAAAACAGCCTGGCCATATCCCAAACGCAATCTGGAAATAGCCCGTCCGTGGGCCTGCCCCGCTTTGAGCCTGGCCTGGAATCTTAGCTGGCATCTGCGTCAGGTGCAGCCTGCACGAGGGTTCAGAACAGCCCTGGCCTTGCGGGGGGTAGCCTCATATTGAAGGGGCCCTGGGACACACGCAAATAACTATATATATACACACAAGTCAACATATTCCCCATATTTTCAAATATTTTCTGGGTTTTAGTCTTCCCCCCCACTTCCCATATTTTCCCATAGTTTCTTGGGAATCGACAATTAATTGTGTCTGCGTTTTGTTCCCCTCCTGACGTATGTTCTTCGTGCCAAATTCGGCCCCCCGCCCTGGACTGTTCTTCAGTTGGGGCATCTCCAGGGGGCACTGGGCCTTCGGCAGAAGGGCGCTACGGTTCTCGTTCCACGCTCGTGTGGCATGTTCCTTCCGACCATGCACTTTCGGGCCGCGCTTCTGGAGGCCTCCTAGATGGGGTCCTCCTGGATGGGGTCGGATAATCGCGCCGTATCGCCGATGCATCGGCGACGCGGGCAATGCATCGGCGCCGTCGTCGTAGAGAAAGTGGGTCTCCACCTCGAGCCGCATCGGCGATGCATCGGCGATGCGGCGCGATCCCCCGACATCATCCACTTGGTTCCCATGTAAGAGGCCTGGAGATTAGCGAATATCACGGCAGCGTTCTTCGGGCACACGCTAACCTGGGTCAGCACAAACCCAGGTCGGCCAGAGCCCTGTCGCGAAGCCAAGCTGGCCGTTGAATACAGTCTGGCTGCTGAAATTCGCCGGCCCAACGGGCCAGAGGCGTGCTAAGATCTCCGGTAACTCCTTAACAATATTTCTAGTTCGCGCGCGCGGGGCGGCCCCTGGGGGCCCCCGGACGAAAAGTACCCCGGCTGACCCCCGGCCGGGTCCCGGGCGATCCCCAGGGGGGAGGCTATTTTTCGCCACCCCTCGCGAGGATCGTGGCCTCCGAGGGGGTGGCTGCAATCGCCCACCCCCCCTCCCGCCCCGAGGGGCCCCCAAGAGCCCCCCAAGAGACCCCAGGGGAGCCCAAGACGCCGCCAACGAGCCCCAAGACGCTCCCGAGAAGCTCCCAAGAGGCCCCCAAGACGGCCTCAAGAAGCCCCAAATAGCGCTCCAGGGCAGGGGGAATGAGCGAAGCGATTCAATAAAAAGATTATCCCGGCAAAGCAACCTAACAGCGATGTGTAGAAGCATTTCTGAAAGCATTCCCCTTCATATTCAGATGAAAATCCAGTTGTAGAATTCTGCTGTTCTCGCAGTCGTAGTCGCATTCGCGATGACAGTCGCAGCGGCAACGGCAGTCGCAGTCACAGCCTCAACCTCAGCCTGCCTCAGCCTCAGCCTCAGCCTGCCTCAGCCTCAGCCTGCCTCAGCCTCAGCCTCAGCCTGCTTCAGCCTCAGCCTCAGTCTGCCTTCAGCCTCGGCCTCAGCCTCAGCCTGCCTCAGCCTCAGCCTGCATCAGCCTCAGCCTCAGCCTCAGCCTGCCTCAGCATCAGCCTGCCTCAGCCTCAGCCTCAGCCTGCCTCAGCCTCAGCCTCAGTCTGCTTCAGCCTCAGCCTCAGTCTGCCTTCAGCCTCGGCCTCAGCCTCAGCCTGCCTCAGCCTCAGCCTGCCTCGGCCGCAGCATCAGCCTGCCTCAGCATTCAAAATGTGGCCCAGGAACGGAGTTCTGGGAACTAGAAGAACACGAAGTGGCCTACAGTTGGCTCCGGGCATTCAAAATGTGGCCCGGGAATGGAGTTCTGGGAACTTGAAGAGCACGAAGTGG